GTGCCGCCGGGACGGGCTCCCGGGGCTCGGGCGCCGCAGCCTGGGTCCTCACTGCCCCCTGGGGGCCCGGATCTGATCCCGATCCTGACTCGAAGCAGAACGGAGCGCGTCGCCCGCAGTCCAATGGGGACGGCCAGGAGTGGGGACTGCCTTAGAGGAGCTCCACCCACAGCCACGCCTGGACTGGACGGTGGGGGCCGACGAGCGGGAATGCTTGTTCCCTGGCCTCACTCCACTGTAGCCTCTGACCTCACGTTCACGTGGAGGTAGTCCCGTTATGGAAAGGGTGTAAGGTTCAGAACCCGGGCTTCTAAAACAGGGGCTGCCCAACAGTATTGGTGGGTTGTCTTTGGAGTACACATACTCTGTATGTGGTCCAACCCGAGCCAACAAAGGGGAAGAGACGTCTAAGGTCCAATTCACCTCAACAGACTTTTCAGTATGCTGTAGTGCAAATGAAAAAAAAAAGTTCACTCACAAGGAACCTAAAACTATCTAGCGAAGGAGATGAAGCTGAACAACCACAATCATCTTAGCATTTGTGTGGCCCGAATGCTTTACCAGGCGCTGTTCCAGGAGCTTCGCCTACATTGATCCAGGAAGATGGGAAAGGGCTGTAAGATATCCATTGTGCCCTGGGAAATGTACGGACAACTGGCAACCGTTTAGCTTATGAGCAGATTTGCATCTAAAAGACAACACAATTGTCATACCACAGCAAGGATTAAAAGTTAGGACAGAGAGGGTGGTGGGTCAGAAATTCAACTGATTTCCACCTTCCACTTATTTCCATGGTCCTTTAGTCGTCCACCCACCTGCATGGACCATCGCTAAAGAACACAAGAAATTATCATACTGGAGGTGGCCACCCGGAGCGTGCTTCACTGCTCCTGAAGGAACGCCTCAAGAAACCCCATTGACTACAATCCCTGACAGGTTGGCAGGGAGAAGAACGGAGCCACAGCTTCATCCATCAGTTCCAGGCTGATTGGACTTCCGTGTGAGTCAAAGTGACCATTCCCACCATCCGCCGATGACTAGGTAGTTTCTATGTCTAGTGAGGAGAAGAGTAAGTTCTTCTTTAAATGCACCTAAAATGAAATGGTATAGCTATTTTGAAAAACAGTTTAGCACACCCCATAAAGCTAAGCAACAGTTACAAATATGCCTGGTACAACTGATGTATGGATTGTAATAAGAATTATAAGAGCCCTCAATAAAATGATAAAATAAATTAATTTTTAAATGAATAAAATAATAAATAGAATTAATTAATTAAAAAATTAAAAAGCAAAACATACAGTTCACATATGGCCCAGTAATTCCAATTCTATGTTATATAAGTATATATATCTACTATATAAAAACAACTATCATATACGAACTCACTGTCATTGTGGTCATATAGATAAATATGTATATTCATATATATATATGCTATGAAAACATATAATAGCACAAATATGTGTGCACCATGTTCACAATCTTCCTACTCATAACAGCCAAAGAGTGGAGGCAACTCAAATGCCCATCAACGGATGAATGGTTAAACAAAAGGAGTACAGCCATACAAGGACATATGTTATTGTTCGGCCACAAAAGAAATGAAGTATGAATGCATGCTACAGTGAAAGGATTAACCTTGCAAAGAGTTTCCTTGGTGAAAAAAACAAGCCAGACACAAAAGGACACATATTGTATGATTCCACTTATATGAAATGCCGGGAATAGGTACATCCATGGAGACAGGAAGTAGATTAGTGGTTGCCAGGAGATGAGGGGAGGAAAGAGGACGGATGGTTGCTCACAGGTAGAAGGTTTCGGTTGGAGGAATAAGAAAATGTTCTGGAATGCACGGTGATGCTTGCACAACTTTGTGACTATACTCAAACTCACTGCATTGTACAATGAAAATGCACCTGGGACGTTTCAGTCAAATGCAAGAGGGTAGGAGCTGAAAGGGTGGGTAGAGAGAGAAGCCCTTGAAAGCCAGTTACAAATTATCTCCCACTCCTGCGCCTGCCTTCAGTCACCCTGGGGCATTTATCCGGAGAGCCGTGTTGTCCAGTAGAGCTTTCAGTGATGAAGGAAATGTTCTTTATCTGAACTGTTTAATACTGAAGCTATTACCAGCATGTGGCTACTAAGCGCTCAAAATGTGGTTAGTGCAACTCAATAAGGAATTTTAAATGGCACTTAAATTCAGATCGCCGCATGTGGCTGGTGACCACCCTGTTGGCAGCACAGCATCAGACCTTTTCAAGACGAAAGCAACGGCACAGGAAATGTAGACAGAATTCTGGAGGGTGTTAGTCAGGGGAGATAATGTCTCTAAAGGCCCACAGCCCAGCTTATGTCTGTGTAGCTGCTAGAAATCCTTCATCAAATTCTTGCTGCTCTTGCTTTTCTTCCGGGGTTTAGTTTTGTCTTTATAACAAGGTGGGCTAGACCCGAGGTGGAATGTTGGGAATACAAAAGATTGTCCAAAACTGTCAGCCAGATGCCAAAGGGGTGCTCTTTTGAAGAGTGAGAGTCAGAAGAAATAAAAGAAAATCCTTGCTAGAACCTGTTTCCTTCCTTCCCTTGATAATTGCTTCTCTCTCCCTTTCCTCCTCTCTCCCTTCATCCCTCTCTCCCTCCCCATCAAAGTGGGAAATCTTGCTATTAAGATGCTGAACTGGTGTGCTGAAAAATCTTTATTTAGGTTTCCTATTTCCAACTCAAGCCCGGTAACATCCCTAACACTTTTGATGCACGTCTCCCGGTTTCTGCTGATCTTTCCCTTTTACGAATGTTCCTTGAACTTGGAATGGATAGTCTAGGCTGTAATGAGTTTCTAAGTGTTTCCTGTAATATGGTGTCCCCACAGCAAGATTCATTTGTTGCATGTGTTCCTGCCTGCTTTGAGCCAGCACTGTGCTGACTGTGATGGATGGAAAATGAAAGAGAGGGCCACTGAGTAGCTTCGAATATGGTGAGGAGGTATATAGAGAAACCATTCAAACAAGCTTCGCATTGATGGGGGGTGGGGGTGGGGGTGGGGTGGGGGGGTGGTACATGACAGCTCACTGAAAGCCAATAGCAAAGAGTAGCTGGGAAATCAGGGGAGGCTTCTCCAAGGAAGTGACATTTGTGCTGAAGGAATTTGAGGGATGAGTAAAACGTTCACTTTTATTATCTGATGTTTTTCCGCCATTTGTACCACCCTCTGGCTCAGTGGGCTTGAGGTGACATGACAGGAGACATCTGGGGAGCTGGTGTTGGAAAGAAGGCAAGCACATTAGTTCGCTCTCAGTGACAAGGGTTTGCATTGCTGACCAGGGTGCTAAGTAAACAGTCACACTTGTTTCCCTCAAAGCTTGGTCTTCAGAGGAAAACACAATCAAAGACGCTGCTGTAAAGGAATCTGTCACCTGACAATGGCAGCAGCCTTCTGACTGTTTACTAATCCACTGTATCTCAAGCTCCAGGCGATGATTGTGTCCCACTGTCACCATTCTTGCTGTCTCCATGTGTCACCTACACTCTTGCTCCTGTATCTCACTGGAAGTTGATTCTTGTTTTGTTGTTATGTGAAACATATTAGTGTGAAAACCAGTATCACTGGCTATATGTAGAACTCTACCAAAGCAGTCCAGGGAAAGTAAAGTCATGTTATTTAATATTAACTTGATATTTTAGCTACTGAAATTTTGGGACTCGAGGCTTTGCCTTGTGACATAAAGGAAGATTAGCACATCTTAGAAAAGCCGATGACTAAGCACTTGGCTCTTAACCAAAAGGTTGACCGTTCAAACCCACCAGTCACTCCACAGGAGAGAGATATGTCAGTCTACTCCTGTAAATATTATAACCTTGGAAATCCCCTACCACTCAGTCATATAGTTCACTATGTATGAGCTGAAATTGCCTTAACAGCAATGGGTTAAAAGACAGACATATGGACACTAAGCTGATCATTTCTCCTTGACTGAATCAAACAGACTGAACGAGAATAGAAAAAAAAAATAACCCTTTCACTATGTCAGTCAATGTTATGCAGTGTTTCCTTATAAAATCCGCGCCTGCACTAGGTACAATCGGCTCCCCTGGGGGAGCGCCCTCTCTGAAACCCTGCTCTGATGCATTCAGCTCGGTGCTGTCAGTGTCGGAGGCATCACTTCATCATTTCCCTCTCCGACTGCAAATCCCGTACCAGCTCGTCATTACCTAAAGGGCAACATCTTACTTCTTTGCCACGAAGTACAATATCCTCCTTGATTATGCCTAACCTATCTTCTATCTCTATCTTCCAGTTTTATCATTTTCCTCTTTAATTTTACATTCTACCCCTATTGAGTGATTTGTGCATCTGGCGCTTCTGTGATTTTGAAAGGCTATTCCGTCTACTTGGTATTTGGTCCCTCTAACTGCCCCGCACACATCATATTCCCTGCTCATTTATACTCATCTGCCCAGTACCAGGCACACAGTCATGATGACACAGCATACCTCTAGAAGCACCTTCTTTCAGGGATCTTCCTCACTGCCGTTAGCCATGTGTGAGTACAGCTAAGAGTATCTCAGATGCTCTTCTATGATTCTACATCCCTGACTGCAGGTGATTCACACGTGGGCCTAAAGCAGAGTGAATCAGTCAGATTCTCTAAGAATATCATAACAGGCACAGAACATTGGCATTCATCTTCCTCTGGTTTAAAATGAAGAGAAAAAGGGAGGCAAGCAAGGTAGAGAGAGCTGCTCCACTGCACTTGGTACTCTTCAGTACTTTCAGGTGATGAGAATTTCCCTTTTGTTTTGTGGGAGAGTCTCCAGTGTATCTCAAATTAAAATTTTTCCTAAACTCATTTTGAAGCACTCACTAGTCTATGCCAAGGAATTTGGAAGACAGCTACCCGGCCAACCAACTGGAAGAGATCCATATTTGTGCCCCTCCCCAAAAAAACTGACCTAGCAGAATATAGAAATTACTAGACAATTCCATTCATATAAAAAAAATTTTAATACCATTCATATTGCATGCAAATTAAATTGAGCTGAAGATAATTCAACAACAGCAGTATATCGACAGGAGCTGCCAGAAATACAAGCCAGATTCAGAACAGGACTTGGTACAAGGGATATCATTGCTGATGTGACTGGATGTTGGCTGAAACTTGGAGAATACCAGAAAGATGCTTACTTGTGTTTCATTGACTACGTGAATTCATTCAACTGTGTGGCTCACCACAAACTATAGAGAACACCGAGGCGAATGGCCATTCCAGAGTATGCCATTGTGCTCAGGTGGAACCTGTCCATAGACCAAGATGCAGTTCTTGGAACAGAACAAGGAAACATTGCACGGTTTAAAACGTGTAGCCTTTTGACATGCTTATTCAATCTGTATATGGAGCAAATAATCCAAGAAACTAGACTTTATGAAGAAAGAATGTGGCGTCAGGGTTGGAGGAAGACTAATTAAAACCTTTAATATGCAGGAGATGCAACCTTGCTGCACTGGCTGCCCTTGCTGATGAAGGTCCAAGACTGCAGCCTTTAGAAAGGATTACAATTCAATGTAAAGAAAACAAAAATCTTCATAACTGGACCAATAGGTAGCATCATGGTAAACAGAGAAATGATAGAAGATGTCAAGGATTTCATGTTTTGGGTCCATAATCAACACTCAGTAGCACAGCAGCAAAAAAGCAAAAGACGAGGGTGGAGTGGATAGGAGGAACCTATTGCAAGGATCTGCATGTAACCTCCTCCCCCGGGGGGATGGACAACAGAAAAGTGGGGGAAGGGAGATGTTTGACTTGTAAGATATGACAAAATAATAATAATTTATAAATCATCAAGGGTTCATGAGGGAGAGGGAACGGGGAGGGAGGAGAAAAATGAGGAGCTGATACCAAGGGCCCAAGTAGAAAGAAAATGTTTTGAAAATGATGATGGCAACAAATGTACAAATGTGCTTGACACGATGGATGGAGATAAGAGCTATTCGAGCCCCCCATAAAATGATTTTTAAAAAAGAAAAAGACATGCATCGGGCAAGTTTGCTGCACAAGGTCTCTTTAAAGTTCAAAAGCAAAGCTGTCTCTGGGAGGACTTAAGAATGCTTGACTCAAAGCGTGGTATTTTCAGTAGTCTCGTGTGGATGTGAAAACTGGACGAGGCATAAGGAGGACCCAAAAGGAGACTCGATAGACAAGCTATAGCTTTGGTGATGGATCCTGAACGTACAGAACAACCCTGCCTTGGAAGAAGTACAGCTAGAACGCTCCTTGGAAGTCAGGCTGTTCAGATTTTGCCATTGTATTAGGGACATTTCATCAGTAGGGACCAGTCCCTGTAGAAAGGCATCGTGCTGGGTAACGCAGAGGATGTATTCAAAGAAGAAGAAAATCTTGGATGAGAAGGATTGACCCAGTGGCTACAAGAATGGACTCAACCAGAGCAACAACCGTGAGACGAGAGCAGGACAGGGCCGTGTCTCGCTCTGTTGGGCACAGGGGCGCTGGGCGTGGGAGCCACCTTGACAGCACCTCACAACAGTTAGAGTCAGTGTCTGACACTTGCAACCAAGTGTCCTAACACATTCTTAATCACCTGTGAAGGCTCAATAGAAATGCTAGTCTTTTTAAAACCTTCCTTGACCTACCCACTCTCCTGCACAATAAAATGATGAAGACGCCTCTTCTCGTTTACATCCTGAATGTTGTAACACCAGACCTCCCTTCGAGCAATCTTATTTATCTTGATGTGTGTCTGAGTAAAGGATAGCGTATCCTATCTCTCTTGCCTGTTTGGATTGTTCAACCCCTCTGGTGGGAAGAGGGTCTTAGAACCTAACAAACTATTGACATAATGTTCTAAGAGAAGTCAAAATTCCGCAGTTAAGGTACAGGTAAGAGCTGGAAACACAGGGAATCCAGGTCAGATAAACCCCTCAGGACACTAATGAGTGTAGTGATACCAGGAGGGGAAGGTGGGGGAGAAAGGGGGAAACAATCACAATGATCTACATATAACCCCCTCCCTGGGGGACAGACAACAGAATACTGGGTGAAGGGAGACATGGGACAGTGTAAGACATGACAAAATAATAATAATTTATAAATTATTAAGGGTTCATGAGGGAGGGTAAGAAAGGGAGGGAAGGGGAAAAATGAGAAGCTGATACCAAGGGCTCAAGTAGAAAGCAAATGTTTTGAAAATGATGATGGCAACAAATGTACAAATGTGCCTGACACAATGGATGGGTATACGGATTGTGCTAAGAGCTGTACAAGCCCCCACTAAAGTGATTTTACAAAAATTTAGCAGTTATAAAGTTTTCTTTTTCATCTGGAAAGCTTCACAAATTTTCATGTCATCCTTGCTTAGGGGCTATGCTAATTTTCTCTGTTTCGTTCCAATTTTAGTAAACGTGTTATCCAAGCAAGCAGGGATTTTTTTTTTTAACCAAACTTAATCCTAAAAAGAACTTTAAGATTATTCCTGCAGCAGGAGTCTGTTCCCGTCCATGCTGGAAGTAGAAAGGAAGAAGAGGTCCCCGCCATAGTCCCACCTGTAGCAACCAACAAAGGCAGCCAGCACCTGGAGATGCGGGCCAAACCCACCCCAACCACTGCCCTCTAGCTAGTTCCGACTCCTAGTGAGCATGTAGAACAGAGAAGAATTGCTTCTTAGGATTTCTGAGACTAGATACATGAACAATTTTATTGGCGCTTCATCCATACATCGTACCATTCAATAATTCCATCATACCAAAAAGAGTTAGACAATCATTATCACAGTTGATTTTAGAATTGAGGTAGTATATTTTTATGGGAGCAGACAACCTCATCCTTCTCCTACAGAGCAACTGTTGGGGTGGAAGCAGTGACCTTGCGGGCAGCAGCCTCCCCCACGGTGCCGCCAGTGCTCCTTGGAGAGGAAGGCAGAAGGGAGAAAAGACTAAGGAACCTGCAGAGGGAGAGTCGGAAGAAAAAGGGGGAATTTAGAGCAGGAAGGACTCCAAGAAGTTCATCTGCCATTCAATCTCTCGGAATGAAAAGGCAACTCCACAAGCCAAGTCGTGTTGTCATAGGCACCCCTTGCAATCCCAAACCCACGGCCGTCCAGGTGATCCTGACTCAAAGGGACTCTTTAAGACGAACTGCTCCCTTGGGTTTCAAGACTGTCCAGGGTTTTTTTGTTTTGTCGTTCTTTTGAATTTATTTTTTCTTTTTACAATCATTTTATTGGGGGCTCGTACAACTCTTCAATCCATCCATCCATTGTAAGACTGTCAGTTCTCACTGGAACAAACAGCCTTGTCTTTCTGCCTTGGAGTTGGATTTGAATCCCCAACCTTGTGCAGCCCAACACTTATCCACTGTGCTATCAGGGTACTTCCCTTGTGATGAAAGTTGGCTAAGTCCGATTGAATTTGTTTCGGTAAGTGATTAACCTATACACTCCTTCAGATGTCAATAGTCATTTCAGAGATATGACAGCAGTCTCTGTTACTTCATTTCTACATTATATAGAAACTCCATAAGAAAAAGGCTCTTTCTATCTCGGCTTGGTAGGCAGATATCTGCACAGGTAAGACTCAGGACTTACACTGCTTTCAAATAGGATTTTGATGCTTTTAGCCTTTCTATGAGAGGGCTTCAAAATGTTTGTGGAAAAATCCCACTATCCATTACATTTTGAAGCCCTCATTAAACTAGGGTTTTGTTTTGTTTTTAGTTGCAAGTTGTGGCAGTTACATAATTTCATGTCAACTTGAAGACATATAAAAGTGTAGGGGTGGAGTTTAGCCTGTTAATCTGATCACAGCCTGATGACCTCACTTGGAGATGAGACTGGAAGCCACCCTTTCTCACTCTGCCTTTACCTTCCTGCTTGCTGGCCACCCTGAGAGCTGCCGGAGCCCCGCGATGCTTCCACTGCCATTGGATCTGCAGGACTTTACATCCACTAGCCTGTAATCTTCCTGCATGTGGTTGTATGGATCTGCAGAGGGACTTATGGGCTAGTGCCAGACTTAAGGACTTGAGAGGGACTGGACTGGGATGTTTTAGACAACATAACATAAGCTTAATAGCAAGAAAAAGATAAATGACAAAATCCCCATGATTTGATCACAAAAAAATGATATTATCCCTTTTGCCCCAGTCCAATATAGGTCATGATAGAGGTGGGGCACGGGGAAGCAGGCCTTGCTTCATGTAGCGCCAACTCCTTCTATCTTGTCACTCCAGCTGCTCAAGAGCCTCAGAGTGCAGAGTTCTCACCACTGGGCCAGTTGATGTGGACAGGAAGTGAGGGTTGTACACAGATGGATTTATTAGCCAGGTAGGATGTGGTACATAGCACTTCTTCCACAAACTGTTGGAAAGAATCCCACCATATGGCCACACCAACTGCCCAGGAGGCTAGTATATGCAGTGAAGTTATGCTCCTGGGAGAAGAGGAGAATATATCAATGGCAAGGACAAGCTAGCTCAGCCAGCCTCACACCTAACTCACTGCCATGGAATCATTTGTACTCATAGTGACCCTGCAGGACAGGGTAGAGCTTCCTACTGTGGGTTTCCAAGACTAGAAATCTCTGTGGGAATAGAAAGTTCCATCTTTCTTCTGTGGAGAGGCTGGTGGTTTCGAACAACTGGCCTTACGGTTAGCAGCCCAATGAATAATCCACTATACCAAGAGGAGTCCTTTCACCCAGCCAACTCAAGGGAAAATGAGGCCTATGAAAGGCTTCTTGGGTAGGCAGCCAACACTCCATCACAACCTTAATATAGGCCAGTGAGGGAATCCAGGACAAGTAAACCCCTCAGGACCAATAATGAGAGCAGCAATACCAGGAGGGGAAGGAGAAGGTGGGGTAGAAAGGGGGAAACTATCACAAGGAGTTACATATAATTTCCTCCCTGGGGATCGGACAACAGAAAAGTGGGTAAGCCTGATATTTTTGGATTTGGAGTTTTGTTCTGCGCCATTCAGTTAATCAGGAGCCCTGGTACACCAATGGGTCACATATTGAGCTGAATCCATCAATCACTCTTTCGGAGGCAGTTTGCTCCTGTAAATGGGGCAGTTCTGCTCTGTCCTGTAGGGCAGTGGGGGTATCTGAGTCTATCCTGACCCATAGTGAGCTTAGAGAGGGTTTCTGAAACGGTACATTTTTATGGAGTAGACAGACCCATCTTTCTTCTGAAGAGCAGCGGCTAGCTGATCTTTAGTTTGCGGTCCAATTTCTGACCCACAGCACCACCAGGGCACCTTCACACTGCATTACCCCAAACCTATGGAAATACTGTTGAGTTGATTCCACTCAAGGTAATCTTAGAGTGGGATTCTGAGATGGTAAATCTTTATTGGAGCAGCCAGCCTCATCTTTTGCCATCAAAGTGGCTGGTAGGGTTTGAAAGTTGGCCCTTGTAGCAACCTGATTCTAATTCCACAGTGCCACCAGGGACTTCTTAGAAAAAGTGAATTCAAAGTCCAGACTCCAGAGCCAAGTGGCCTTCATTTGAATCCTGACTGAGTCTCCTGAGAATTGTGAGCTCAGGGCCGCAAGTTCCTCATCATTCATGGAGGGAACAGGAGCCCCATGGTGGTGTAGTGGTGCTGCCTGGGGCTGCTACCTGCAAGGTCAGCCGTTTGAAACCACCAGCAGCTCCACTGGGGAAAGATGGAGATTTCTGCTCCCATAAAGCAGTCGTCTTGGAAGTTCACAGTGGCAGTTCTACCTTGCCCTACAGGGTCACTGTGAGTTGGCATTGACTCAATGGCAGTGAGTTTGGTTTTATTTTTTCTTCCTTTGCAATGGAGGTAGCAGGACCCACATACCTTAGTTACTTAGTGCTACTGTGACAAATACCCCAGTGAGTGGCTTTAAAGATCAGACATTTATTTTCTCATAGTACTAGGGACTAAAAGTCCATACAATGCCCTTGTCTGTGTCTTTTCCTCCTTGTCTGTGCTCCTTGGTTCCTTGGTATTTCTTGATTTGTAGATGATTCTCACATGGCGACTCTCTCCGTGTGTGTGTGTGTGTGTGTGTGTGTGTGTGTGTGTGTGTGTGTTCTGCTCTTTTAGTGACTCAGAAGTGATTAGATTAAGAACTCACCCTGAAGTCCTCAATCTCCCCACCCCCCAAAAAAAACCCCGTGACTAGTGTGCCAATTCTGACTCATGGTGACCCTGTAGCACAGAGTAGAAATAGTACTTAGGGTTACCTAGACTGTCAGTCATTACAGGGGCAGACGGCTCCTGTCGACTAGTGCCCTTTCAGTTGGCAGTCCAGCACTTAACTCACCACACCCCAGAAATCGCCTCCCTCACTTGCAATAGTATCTGAATACTGATATAACACAATGTTTCCAAACACGATCATGCTATTGTTGTTGCTGTTAGGTGCCAATGTGTGGGTCCCAACACATTGTGACCCTGTTCACCACAGAATACACATGGCACAGTCCTGCGCCATCCTTAAGTGGTCCCTGTGCCTGAGCCATTGTTGCAGCCACTGTGCTAATCCAGCTCCTCAAGGGCCTTCCTCCACTTTACCAAACATGATGTCCTTCTTCAGAGATTGCTGTGTGAGTCTGGGTACATTAGAGAAACGAATCCACAGAAACGCATATGTATGAGAGAGTTTTATAGAAAGGGTGAGTGCACATCAAGAAAACATCCTAACCAGTGCTGCTCCAAACCACAAGTCCAACATTAACCCATATGGCCGACACCAATCCACAAAGTCCTCCTCCATCTCACAAAACACACGCAATGATGCCGACTGCAGGAGGAAAGCCGAGTCAGTGAACGTGTAAGCATCTTAGTGTTGGCAGGGGTTTCCACACAGCTGCTCCAGCACCCAGGGCTACATTGGGGTAGGTCCATGTGGCTTCTCCTCCGGGATGTCTTGCAGGAAGTCAGCCTTGCAAGCTGACACAGGGAACTGGCTAAGGCAGCTGCACCCTGGTCTGACCATCAAACAGCAAGAGATCCGAGAACTAGAAAGGCGAGGCTCACTGAGCAATTTATCCCTCTGCCCTTCAATTAACCCCACATGTGTTCATTGGCCAGGTTCGCACAATAAACATTAACTATCTCAACTGGTCTCTCCTGATGACATGTCCAAAATGCATGACAAAGTCTTGCCATTCTTGCCTCTAAGGAACCCTCTGGCTGTACTTCTTTTCAGACAAATTGGTTTGTTCTTTTAGCAGTCCCTGGTACGTTCAATATTCTTCTCCAGCACAACAATGTGAATACATCCATTCTTCTTCGGTCTTCCTTATGCACTGTCCAGCGTTCACAGGGTGGGTGTGTGCAGCGATGGAAAGCACCTGGCTTGGGTGAGGTGCACCTAAGTCCTCAAAGTAACATTCTTTCAATACTCTAAAGAGGTCTTGTGCAGCAGATTGACCTAATGCAGCCCC